CTCGGGCTATGAGCGGTCTTCACGTCGCAATAGCACAGAAATTCGAAAGCAATAAAGCTATTAATTATCACCTCTGAATGCCTATACCACCATAATCTCCTCTACGACACTTTTCGGGTATATTGTGCATTTCATAATGTGCGCAGGTGAGATGATCCGCGATGACTCGCCGTAATGAACCGTTAGAAAACACACCCGCTTCGCTCGAAACCAACGTGGTTTTATACCCAAACCTGTCCTCAAACAACTACTCAGTGACTTCTAAATCACATGCAGCCGAAAGGGCGCTAGAAAACCACTTCAATGGACTACAACACAGTTTTATTTTTATAGATAGCCAAAGCTTCAAATGGAGACATTCGCAAGTTGTTGCTATCAGAGAAAAACTGGTGCCGAATGACAAATTGCAAACTTTGTAAATTCAATTTTAGGTGAAAATGTGGTAAACTGGCACAGCAATATCTCCAGAGGACTACAACATGTAACATTTTTTAACAAGAACAAAAAAATACATTTTTTGATAGACGGAAACAGCACCGCTACTTTCTCGAAAATTATCAAAGTTTGGTGAACCAGCGGAATTCTTATTTTGTTCTTCATGCCGTGCTTTTCATGCCGTATTAACGACGTTTGCGGATCTTCATCCTTCTCATCGAACCTTGGCTCTCTGGAGAGAAAAATATTCAACGTACTTGTTCCGACACAATATAAGCACTCCAGCAATAGGTAGTAGCATTCAGATGCCCTTAGACCGGTGACAGACTTTGAATCCTAAGATTCACCAGCGACTCCATGGTTTACTCCAATCCGAGCAGTACGAGCAATGCGCCACCAGTTCGAACGACGCACCAGCGATAGTCGCTAGTTAGGGTTAGTCGCTGATTCGCTGGCGCATGGCTCGCACGAATTGCTAGCGAAATGCCCAATTGTTAGCGAATCCACGAATTCGCAGTCTGACACCGGCCTTGAATCGATACTGGACGAATGTTCCATTAACAGCGTCGATTTCAAACAATTTTGGATTTTCTGCCATTTTACAACTTTTTTAATTTGAATCAGCAGTAGTGGTTGGTCTCCTCAACTACGGCTCGTAAAATAATAGAAATAAGGATGTGGCAGTAAAAAACTGATACAATATATATGTTATTGAAATCGTCATCATAACAAAAGCAGATCAGTTTTTTTGCTGAAAGAGAGGCGTGACTATTTATGCTGTATTCCATTAAGTCTACGATTGAACCTAAAATTCTTCACTTCAACCCCTAACCTTTTGAACCTGTTGCGTGTGGGATGGGATGGAAAGTGTGTGGCTGTGTACTTAGCATCTTATTTTACGGCGCCAGCCGCCTCCTGTCCTTAGTGAAGATCATATCAGTCAACCACGCAGCTAGAGTGCAGACGGAAGAGTACGGTGCGGCATTGTTGCTTGAACAGAGGCAAGAGCGCAGAGTTTATGCGATAGCGCGTATACACTGTGAGGGAGACACACTTCAAAACGAATAAAGACCGGCAGGGCGTTAGATACTTGCCCTGAAAATAACAAATTTCCACAAGTTACGTAGCCGCCCCACTTTCACAAAAGCTCCTCCTTCCCTATCTCTGAGATATGGAGCTCATGTTGCATGCGAATTATGCGCGTAGCGACTCATCCAACGCAACGCTATCTAGAACTTTCATTCCTAGGACGCTCGCATATGCTCCAAATCTACCGTTAAAGTAGTATGCTCAAAGTGTTTATTTGCGTGATGAGAAGACACGCTTCTAGACCACAGGAACTACTTGAGAATGCCGCAGGCGCAGATATTCATAAAATTATTATGGCACAGGATGCTGATAGAAGCGTCCATCAATTCCGAGAGGTCGGCATTCATTGAGGTGGTTCTCCAGTGTTTTATTTATGATTATTTCACCTAATATGTTTAAGATATCCCCCATATCAATGAACTTATGCGGAAGAAAAAATCCTGCACGAACCCATTCTCCATTGTGTAACTGCAATGAAAGAGAAAAAAATTGAAGAGGCAAGGGGGCTGATCTCAACATTGGAAGGGAAGTGCAAGATCCAGGACGGACACTGATGCCGGAGCCAATAGAAAGAAATCGGAAGAGGAGGGCCGCGCCATTGTGTGGCCCTCCTGAACCCGAGTTTCGCCCATATTCCTTGACGAGGGGGAGTAAGATTGGGTAAAATGACACATTCAGTGTTTGCCATTACGAAATCCTAAGGGGCGACGTCGAGCTGAGTGCGAAGTATGCGGTTGCGGCGGGCACGCATGTCACGTCAGGGTTACGGTAGTCCATCTGCAGGATGCTGAAGTTAGATCCTTGTACCGAAAGCCATCCATTTGTTTACGCATCAGAAAGCCTTCCGGGTTTTCCTTCAGAACTGAACAATTGTTTAAAAGTGGCCGCTTCAGACGAGAATTCCTGTACTGTTCTTTGCTGCTGCTCTCAGCATCACCTTCAACGTCATTGATGCCTAGGAACAAGAGTTTCCATTCGATGAAAAAATATGAAATTTCCCTCAAACAAGGGCCCGAAATTGACAGCTGGTGGCAGAGAGGAACTTGAAAAGCTTACTATCAGCAGGGTAGGTTAATTAGAAGAGGTGCTCTATTCAGCTAATGTCATAGTTTGGCCCATTCTCCTTATTTTTCGCTTCAAAGATGCAACTTCGTTCCAAAAATGGATTTAAACAAAGTTGATCTAAGTAGGGAATATCAGGTATCAAAACGCCTAATGCCTCTGGTACTTTGGAATAAAAAAAATAAAATTTTCAAAATTTGAGAAGGCATTCTAATAGCACTCGACGAGCTGAGTCTAATGGTATAGTTTTTCATGTCGAAAAGCGATCAGAAATCAAATTATAGCAAAAAGACGAAAAAGACGCGGATCCGCGTCTTTTTACCAAAGTTATGGGAGGTACTGTATCTTAGTGGGAAATCATCGAAATCGGTAAATTTCCATGCAAGAGACGAGGAGTGTGGACCAGGTAAACGGCCCCTTCAAATACGACGTCAATGAAATGGAGAACGCACAAATATCTCCCATAATTTTCATCCCGGGGCATGCCTTTAAACTACTCATTATACCTGACCATAAGCGGTGACGGACTTTCAATATCAAAATTGAAAATATTTATTATTAGACATACTGCTCAACGGCTTCATATAATATAATACATTAAAAACACAATAACAAACAACATTCCACTGCACTTCGTGTACCCATCGAATAAGTTTACTTTTCTGCTATTTCGGAAGGCAGGGTGATTGCCCTAAGCTGACTGTCGGAATGCAAAGCAGGTGGTGCCGTCTTTCTCAGTTTCACAGTACAGCTCCGTGTTAACTATGTAAGAGAACGTTCCCGTAGAGCAGACGACGTCAATTCTGAAACAATAGCAGCGTTAGTATTTGCAAGGGAGGGTCATTAGGTAGTTTACACTCAGTTTGCAATAAACATGAACCTTCCATAGCACTTTTAGATATACCAATTAAGCCGCGTTTGCTGCCGCGCGCATATCAAAGTACGCTCCATTGAAGAGCAAGACTCATGTCTCGAAGGCACGGGTAGATAATCAGATTCGTGTGTCATTTGGTTCCAAAATCAGACAGGAAGCGAAGAGCGTTAGTGAGGAGAAAAAGCGAAAGTGTTATAGAAGACCCTGAAACTTCACATGTGAGGTTGGACGTGGTATGACGGAGAGTCGCGCGCTGCGAGCAGAGGGAAAACGCGAGGGAGCACTTTTCACTCGAAAGGGCGTAAATACCACGTGTGCTGCGATTGGTAAGGATGGCAGCGCTGAACAATTAACGCGCGGCCTTAGCGTCAGTGATGGCAGAGAATTTTGCTACCATTAACCTTTCGCCTTGGGGATGGCAATTTCCGTCATCAGTTCAGCTTCTACTACTCACTGCTGATGTTACTTCAGACAACATTTTCTTTCCAAATTTTGCTGCGCACCTGCCCACCATCGCTCCATTGAATTCCATTGCACTCCCGCAACAATAAGACAGAAAACTTTTCTTCCTATCGAAATTAATTCATGGCTGAAAATTTCCATATAGGGGTGAAACGACAGTCAACGACGACGTCGCGGATGAAAAAATGTTTTCCTTATCAAGCATCACGATATGTAGTTAGAAACTTCAGTGACTTCTCCAATCGCAGGCTGGTCACTCCTATCAGCTTAATCTACGTGTAAGTTCAGCACTCTACTGTCAACGCAGAAGTCGTCGTAACGGAGCTGGTCACACTTTCTCATCATTCATAACTGTAGTAATCACATGTCACCTGCCGATGGATGTTCCTGTCCTACTCTTCGCATTATATCTATCTGAGAAACAATATTTCTAAGCCTCAACACAGAAAGTGATAACAATTAAAGCCTTATTAATATCACTTTCTGCCCACCCTCCCGTTACCAAGCATGCATGTTCCGTCCCATCCTTTATATCACTACTGAGAAAAATCGCCTCATCGCTGATGGGCCATGCGCTATGATGCTTACGACGCTTGCGTCCTAGAGCCTCTTATCGGCCCTTATCAGCTGTTATCTACTTCATTATGTCCGTCTAGAAATGTTTTCGTCCTACCTTACCTACCATCATACACAAGAGCAAACCTGTCGACGGCTACTGGACCGCGCGCTATGAAGTCCGGGGCAAACACTTGCACATACACGCAATGCCACGCCAAAACCATATCACTGCTCCTGGATTGATAGAAGAGGCAAGTTATACAAGTGAAGGGTATTAGCGTAGTGAAGTATTCTAAGTGAATTGCAGCCGAGCAATTATATACTACAGTAAGATAGCTACATATCAATCAATCGCTGGTCAGCTTTTACCTTTGTGCTTTCACGGGCATTTTTCTTATCAGGCAGCCAATCTCATGTGGAAGCTTTCACAGGCTGCGTTACTTATTAATCTCGCTGGGTGATCCACTGCGTTTAAAGAGAGCTACTTATGTTGCAGCTCGGATTTGTTCTCATTGCCGCTCTGGACCACCCCGATTTTGCACAACAACTCCTCGGCTTCATGCTCAACCTTTGAGAAACATCTACGGCCAAAGCAGCAGGTGTTTTAGGGGGTAACGAACTTGCGCAGGATCCACAGGACAGTGCAAGAGCACAACTGTTCCTTCCATAGGGTAACAAACTGCCTGTGGCCCATGTGGTATGACGTGCATGATAGGTGAAGCGGCACCATTCTCAAGGCAGCTCTTTGGCGATTTTAGATGGATTTTGGTTGGAGTCAGATCAGCACCCATAATGACTCGTTCAATGGAAAAACAATGTAAAAAGCAGTGAACGCTACACTTACCTTCCACCCAACTTATTGGTAGCCGCTTCTTGGATTTGACGCTTTGCCACTGCCGTCGTAGCGTCCATATTCTGAAACGAATACACTAAGTCGTATATTGCCATATAGAAAAAGGCAATATTCTGGGCGCGTGTATCATATGAGAGGTGGAGCATTGCTATCGCAGCGTTCTACACCTGCGCCTGCCACCTTCTCTTCCCTTTTTCTGTTATCGAATCACGGTGTGAGCAACCCGGCCGTTCGAGGCTGTGGCCAGTGTAAAATTGGCGCGCACTGTCTTTGTAATCGTCGTAGTTAAATATTATTTCTTATCGTCATCCTGATATATACTTGTGCTGCGCTGAGCGGGAGAATAAAGGCGGGAGGGAGAAGATTTTGTCCCCGACATTCAGATGTATAAGCTTGAACTTTTTTAAGTGTTATCGGTTCGCGAGTGCATTCAAAAGACTTTGAATGGTAATCCTGAGGGGAGATTCAGTGACACTCCCGTGATAATCAGTGAGGAGTATTACCTCTAAAATGATTTCTTTGAGAAGTTCCGAGTTGCACTTTGGGTCGAAGGCCGCTTCAGTGTCTCGGCGAACACGTCGTCGTAGTCCTTGGGTCTCAGCAAGCATTAGGTCTTCTCTGGATGGCTCCTGAATGCGTTGAAGTATAATACAATAGAAAATTTACCCGAGAGGCTCTAAGCAGTAACTTACACCAGTTCGCACTCCATACGCGAATCGCTTTTTATACGGTACGGCATATCCTTGAGGTGCTGAAATTCGTCATTTATACATTCTCAGAATAAATGTGTTATATCTCAATATAATTTCAACAAGCAAACCTTGAGGGATGTAGGCAGGACCCTGTTGAGGGTAGTATTGTGGAGCCGATTGGTAGCTCTGAAATTGCTAACGAATCAACAACGACATCGAATTCCCAGGGTGGCTTACGCCTCCCCGAATCTTGAGTTATCACTTATTAAACCACATTCCTTAACTTCGAGTTTCGCTCACCAAACCGTCTAATTTTTCATCCCCAGGTTAAAACACATTGGAAATGGACGTGAATAGAGAAAGTAGCATGATAACAAGGAAAAAAAATTCCCCAAAAGCGATCCTCTAATGCTGATCTGTTATGGGCACACCTTGCGGGAGTTCTGCCCGAACTCAAAGGCAGGGGTTGCGATAATCCGTTTTCTCGGAGGATATGGATAGGTAGTGAAGCAAGTCAATGTCGCCCCTAGGCGTCTAGTAAATCCGCTTTGGTGGTAAAAGGAGCGCTATCAAGTACCTGAAACGGCGTTAAAGAGAGTTTCATTTGCCTCTGCGCAGAATACGCCCTCCATGACAGAAGTGGAGACGGCCAGTCAAAAATTGGTGTGCTGCATCACTTGTCGAAATATCCTCAGGTACACGATACTCTCATTTGCCATCTGGGTCCCCGTCCAAATCAACAGACGAAATTGGACCCTCCTTTTCCGATTTCTAGAGTCTCGGACGTTTCTCATAGTGCAGTCCTCATCTCTACAGCACTTCGTAACTGTGCTTTTAAATGAAGATCAGAGTTTCGCAAGCCCTACTTTTGACAGTCTGTAAAACTCACTGGATACGATGGAAAAGATGGACCGCACACAGGTGGAGGAGGGCAGAGCGGCTGTGGAGCAGGAGCACATGGCGCGGGTGTACACGGACAGCCACAACCACCGCCTCCACCAAAGAACAGAGCCTGAAAAGTCACAGGTAGCTTGTAAGAAGAAATCAGCTTTGTTTCGCATACAGTTTTGCTACTGCTTTTGCTGATAATACTTATTTGTTTAATTCGTTTGTGAAAAATTCTACAGGGTAGGTTTAATTACTGGAACTCCGAAAAAATGCGATTATAACGGACAGGTTGCCAGTTCGAAACCTGACGGTAAAAAATCCACTGTTCAATAGAGAACAACTTTTAGTTTTCGCCCTCGAGCTATTTTATTTTGAGCAAGAAATGCCTAGAGCAGCCCTAGTGAAGGAATAAAAACAACAAAAAGCATCCATGGAAAGCATTGAAGGTCTATTGAAGTTGACCGTAGTACGATGGAAAGACACAGCGCTGAAGTGAGAGGGAAATCGCGAAAGAGCATGTCGTGCGCGAGAGGGCGCGGACGTGACGTATGCCGCGACTGACAAGGATGGCAGCGGTCGAAGCGCTCAAACGAAGTCATGAACTCCATCGTCGTGCACTTTCAAGTCGCAACAATACCACCACCCCTATGACTAGGAGTCCTGCCACCTCACATTGGTAGGGAATTTCTCTGTTTTAATTACGACACGTGCCTAAGCGCACCCTGGGTCCGTTCTAGAGCATTCCGCAGAGAGCCAAGGTTCGAAATCGACTTATAGGCTCCGATCTCAACACTTCAGAGACACATTAGACAAATAGAGTTTTGTAAAAATGATATTTTGGCAAGCTGGTGAGCTGAAGGTTTCCATGGCTGCAGAAGATTTCGCAAAGTATTTAGAAAGTACCCGGGCGACAGCGTGTAAAATTCTGCTTCCAGCTTGTTTAAAAATGCTTCCCAATGATCCGCAAGGGACTGTTTCACTATTTTGCGCCCACCATTTCCTTGGGTACTGGAAAACAGCATGAATTTCAAGCTTAATAAAGTAGAAAAATAAGCAAATAAATCGTACATACATTTTTGTGCCACGAACCTGGAATTTACACGAAAAAGGCTTCATTGAAGGAAATTTTCAATCACATCAAAAAGCATCGACAGGAATACTTCAGATTAGTTAATGCACTTCTACGTCTTGAAAATTCAAGACGAGTAATTTTATTCGATGAATTTGGTTTTCATTCACCTCGATGGCCCTCTCAAAAAAAAAGCAAACAAACAAACTCGCAGTGAAATACGATCCGAACTTCTTTTATTATTAGCAGCAAAGAAAACAAGCAAACACACAGTCCAGATCTGACAACGATAGAACGATAGTTCTTGAGAACAAAATTTCGAAACTATATAGAGGAATAAGATTGGGATTAGGCTACACCATCCATGACGGCGTAAGCGGTACCCTTCAAGGACTCCTGGATAAAAGGACGCTACAAGATTATTTTTTAAGGCCAGGGAAGCCAGGTCAGAATTCTCCCTTCGAGGGATAGCTGCTGTGTCGTGACACAGCCTTACGAATATCCGCTAACGCTGCAGGATAATGAAGAATAAATAATTGAAATCCTGAAGATGGAATGCATGTAAATAGGGAAGAAGCGATATCTGTGAATTTGATCCCAACAATCCCAACATGCAAGCACTAAGTCTCAGCGCACAGTTTCTTCCCGTTGTTTTCGTACATCTGCAAAACTGAGGCCATTGCTCCGAGGTTTTTCTATGTTTCTTCGCGTTCTTTCGTCAGCAGGGCAACTAGCCTGATCAATTCATTTTCAGCGCGTAATCTACCTGCACTATCGGGAAATGTATCAGAAATCGTGCACGGAATCTTGGTGTGTTCCTTCCCCAAATGAATGCATGCACCATAAGGGCAGGGAAGGCATTCAACTTCCCATGGAACTTTGAATGAGACCCAGATATATCGATAGAGCTTCAAACGCTGATTACAAATATGGAAACTAAAACTGCAAAATGAACCTGCCAAGGAAGTTGTGAGCAGTCAAAGTTGGCTGGAAGTAAAGCATTACATATGAACCGTGCTAGCTCCAGGCTTTCAGAGTCGCCGCGGAGTAGTGGTAGTGCCCTCGCTCTTCACCCGGGAGGTCATAAGTTCTCTTCCCGTTGGAGTGCAAATTTCGAGAGCACTACCACTACTCCACGGCGACTTTGAAAGCCCGGAGGCTAGCACGGTTAATGTAACGCTTTACTTCCAGCCAACTTTGACTGCTCACAACTTCCTTGGCAGGTTCATTTTGCAGTTTTAGTTTCCATATTTGTAATCAGCGTTTGAAGCTCTATCGATATATCTGGGTCTCATCTCAAAGTTCCATGGGAAGTTGAATGCCTTCCCTGATAAGTCAGTGCATGAAGTTCCATGTATGATAGCTCAGTCTCCGAAAATATGCGGCCTCCGACTATCAGTTTTTGTAGACAGAGACAGACTCCTCTGCGGAGCTAAGGTAACGCGTGAAACGAAGTGTAGCGGGGCGGCCGAAATAAATAGGAGTTGCATAGGCCCCAATTTCAAAGAGTGAAGAGATAGCGTTTCAGCAAAATATATTAAGATGCAACAGAAGAGTGACAGTCTCGTCCTTGGTGGGGTGCCAAAACATTTATCAGTAACGGCACTTCAAATGGAAGCTTGCAGCTGCTGCACTTGTACTAATTCTAAGTCAGGGAATCCTCTGCGTAGCCGTTTTTTTTTTTTTTAAGATTGCTGATTAGAAGAGAAACCCGATCTTTGGCGTTTGTCTCATTCTTAAGTAAAAAATGGGCCTCAAACCAA